GAATTGGAGGATTTCTAAAAATAACATTTAGCCACTGGGACAACGATCAGCTAAAGAAACACAGTTGTGAAACACAAGCCTGCGAAAAGTTACACAGTTCAAAGGGCTCAATTAAAGAGGTGTCTTTGTGTCCTTCCTAAAGACCAAAAGCATGGCAGATAGTTGTGATTCTTGAGTGAGGCGTTCCACCTTTGGGAAGGACGCATACCCAGCAAATGGTCGGCTGGGACTTAGGGCATCCTCACAAAGGCCTCTCCTCCGGATCTCGATCCCTGGGCAGGGTCATGCTGCGCAAGGCAGGAGCTTAGATAGCCGGCTCAAAAGGTTAAAAGCTGCACCTTGAAGCAATTAGCAATCAGGGCACATCTTTCAAGATGGTTGCAGTGCAGCCTTGGCGCCACACACCATTTGGCATCCTGGCTGCCATATTTGCACCAGCTGAAGCTGAGAAGTTTTCTTCAGAGGTGACCCCACACAAAGTACGTTGCAGTTGTCTAAGTGTGATGTAAGCAAGGTATAGGTAATTGTTTGGACAGAAACATCCAGGTAGATGCCATGCATGTCATCACTTCTGTTTCCATGGTATATGAAATGCACCCTCTGCACAAACATGACGCACAGCTGGTTGTGGGTCATGAGAGAAGCTGCAGTCAACTCCCTTTAATGAGAAGAGGCATGTCATTTGTCGGGATTCCAGTGCACAGTGAATTCTAGGTTCTTCTTAGCTACTCTCACCTGGTTCATGCAACTTGACAAGCCTGGCCGGGGTGGTGGCGGTTGCCAAACCGTGGTTTGTTTGTTCTGTTCCATACTCTGCATGGTTAACCATCAACAGCCCTCAGTTCACAACCCAACAACAAACTATGGGATGTCTTTATGAGTTGCTTGTGGTTAGCAAGCCATGGTTTGTTAGTGGAGCTGCATTCACACAACACAACAACCTGTGGTTTCACAAGAACCCATATTCTGGCTTGTCTCATCATGCGAACCCATCCGCTATCTATAGTCCTGTGTCTGATTGTGGAACAAGCGAGCATTTTGCTCTGCGCTGGCACACGGTATGCTTTGGGGCAACATTCTGCTTTTTCTGAGCTTTCCAGGACAGAATTCTGCATGTGGGGAAATGAGGTGAATTTCTGATGCACTGTGTGAACCTTGCAGAGCACGTGGGAAGGGTTTTGGTGTCCAGATTGCGCATTAGCAGGATGGGCATTTCACTCTCCCCTCACTGCTTTTTCCGTTTCACATCTTCATGTTGGGATATTTGTTTTCAAAGTGGTGCGTTTTATCTTCTGTCAGCCAGTTCTCTTCTGGTGCGTACTTTTTTTTTTTTAAGGATAAAGATCAGCATGGTGAATCCCGCCAAAAACATATTGCTGCCTCGAAACCTTTTGCTTGCAAAAGTTTAGCCATAAACCAAAAATAAAACCCTTTTGGCAATGGTGTTCAGTGGCTTTCTGCACTGCCGGAACACTGCAAGACTCTCTCAGTGAGCGCCTCCTCCAAGGGCGTCAAGGCCCAGGGGCGCTTCCATGGCATATCGCTGGGATTATTGGTGCTGGGCTTAGCCCAGTGAGAAGGCTGCAGGCGTCATGTTCGCCAGCTTAAAACGCTTCGGGAGCAGGGCTTGGAAATGCCTCCTTGGGAGATGGCCGAAGTCTTGATGGGCCAGCCCTGGTGAAGCAAACCTTGGTCTCTACCTGGTCAGGGCTTCTATGGGAGACTCACCTGGGGAAAGGTTGGGCATAAATCTACCAATTGTTGCTAGTCACGAAGTCACGTCTGACCCATCGTGACGCCATGGACAACATTTCTCCAGGCCTTCCTGTCCTCCACCATCCCCCTTAAGCTCACACCGACTGCTTCAGTGACTCCATCCAGCCACCCCATCCTCTGCCGTCCCCTTCTTTTGCCATCTATTGTTCCCAGCATCAGGCTCTTCTCCAGGGAGTTCTTCCTTCGCATTAGGTGGCCAAAGTATTTGAGTTGCATCTTCAGTATCTGGCCTTCTAAAGAGCAGTCGGGGTTGATCTCCTCTAGGACTGACCGGTTTGATCGCCATGCAGTCCAAGGGACTCGCAGGAGTCTCCTCCAGCACCACAATTCAGAGGCCTCAATTCTTCGGCGCTCAATTACAGTCCAATTAAAAATGGTCTGCTGCTTGATGGAGCAAGGATATGTGCCTTGGCGTAACACAGACCTCCACGTTCTCGTACTTCCTGTTGCAGAAGGGCTGTGCGTGTCTCTTCTCAGCGCCCCATCGGTGCCTCTCAAGAGGAGGCCGCTGGGCCAGTTCTGGCTTCGGTGCTTTTCAGTCCCTTGGGGAAACCCTGGCAGCTCACGGGCAGGAGAGGCAGGCTGGTTCTGTTCCCCCTGCTGGACCACACTAGTGGGCATCCTATGGCATATGCCTCACAGGGGCCTGATCCGCTTAGAGGCTGACCGTGCACAGTGCTGGCCAGATTGCTTGCTCAGGTCACATTTCCGAATTTCCTAGCAGGTGCTGAGTAATGCATTGTTTATCCTAGTAGTGACAGCTAGTACAATTTTATGTTGCATCCACTGTGTTATATTCTCACCTGGCTGCTTTCCCCTGCAAAGCAGAGGCTTGTTTTGTGTCCAGTTACCTTCGGAGCCGCTGCGGCATCCGCTGCTTTCCTCCCGGTTGCTGCACTAGTTTAGTTGGAAGTGGGGGTGGCACGGGCGGAAGATGATGGAGACCACAAAGGCTGTTCCTCTGGGAAAGAAACACGAGTATTTTCCTTCAGAGTACTTTACCATCGTTTCTACTTTGTGCCGCCGAAATATGCCTACAAATCATGGATACTGCAGAGTTAATATGTAAACTAAGCTCAGAGGAAATTATTACTCTTCAAATTTTCATAACCGCTGGACTTTTTCAAACACACGCACACAGAGACGCGCGTTCGCTTCCTTGAGGCCACCCGTGTTTGCGAAACGAGCGCCTCTTGCCAAAACCTCCAGCAGTAGCAATGAGATCAGCTGCGGACAGGACTGGGAATTCGATTTAATTGCCAGCAGGCATGGTTTTGTTCTCTCCGCTGTGTAAACGCTGCCTGCAAAACCAGCTCCCTAAGATCTACTGCGGAGGCTTTCCCCATTATTCCGAGAGACGATGGCCGCACGAATGGGCTGCGTACGTGAAAGCTGGCAGGCTTCGCCTGGCAGGCAAAACCCGCAAGTTACTTTGTCGGACTTCTGGGTGCCGTGGAGCCAGGCTGTCGGGGAGCAGGGGAGGAGAATCCAATTTCCTCCAGAAGTGTGCTCTGCTGCTCCTTTTGCTTATTAAAACAAATAAAAGCGGTGGGGGACATTGGAGCCCGGTGGCGAAGGGTCTGGCCGGCACGCAGATGCGAGGCCTGTAGGTACAGCGGAGCCCCTCCGCTTCAGACGGAGGGTCCTCCCGGTTGCGCATTCTGCTCGCCTGGGGCTGGTTAGCTGCCCACCGGCCCTCGCAAGCGGGACACGGGTGCAGCAGCACCTGCTGCCCATGTCCCCTAGTAGCTGTTGCACCCAGGCAAACTGCCTCTGATACTGTAAGGAGCATGGAGCCATGAGGACTGGTCCCCTTGATAGCCTGCTCCAGGGATTTGTCTGGTCCCCTGTAGCACATGCACGTATCAGCATCCGTGCCATGACTATATGCTCCCAGGCCAGAATGAGCTTGCAGGCTGAGGGCCATGTTGTGTAGGCTCGACTTCAGGAAGAAGTCATGGGCTTCTTGCCATGTGAGAGAAAAACCAAGATTCCAAGAATCCTGGAATTCTTGCAGAGAAACGCCCGGCTTTCCCCTTCGAGGAATTAGACAAAATGACCCTGCCAGGAGGATGAGGCATTGTCCTGATAAAGTCATCAAGGGCAATCAAGCACCTATCCAACAATTAGCAGGAGTCTGGGAAACAATAAGATCAGGGACAGAAAGGAGAGCAAGCTCAGACGCGGGCCAGCTCAACCCAGGCCCTCGCCCTAGACTCTGGGCACCTTGCACCCTTCTTGCCCCTGCAAGAGATAGCCGTTAAGAGCGCACCTTGCAGGACAGGTAATGCCGTCCCTCCCCCCCGTCCCTCCCCTCCTTCTCTCTCTGTTAGACAGGACGTTCTTTACCTCTTTTGATACATAAAATAAAATTGGGATGCAACAGGAATATTGGCCCTCTGGACAATATTGGGTTCAAAGCTTGTGCCAGCTCTGTATGTTCTTCTGAATAAACTTTCCTTTCTAAGTGGTGTGTGTAAGAGAGAGAGTCCCGAACCAGGGGTTACTTTCTCTGGCAGTGTTCATTAAACCGCAGCAAAAGATTCCAGAACTTTTGAGACAACCTGGCAGGCACGGACCTTCTTCTGAGGTGTGTTGCTCCCCAGTTCACCTGGCGAGACACCCCTTTTACAGCTGTCCCCATCGGTGGCCACCGCTTCGTCTTACGGACATGAGCTCCTCCAGATAGCAGGGCTGGGAAGGCCAGGGCACGCAGGCAGTCCTCGGCTAGGTGACCAAACGGGTGACTTACTGGCTGGATTCGGGCAAAGGGACACCCATCCTCAAGGGTCGAGCTTGGGTGGATTGTTACTAGAGGCTGAAGGGCCTGGGGATCGAAGCTCTCCTCCGGTCCAGGCACTGCTTGACTTGGAGGCAGGCTTCAAGACTGCTGGTGCTTGCTCTCAGTTTCTAAAAATGGACATAGAAAGAACAGCAGGGATTAATCTCCGAAGGTGGTCGTGAAGATCATATCTGCATATGCAAATACCTGAGCTTATATCGGTGATTTCCAGCAGCACTCTTATTAAAGGCAGAGAGGATAGTGCTTGGTGCTAGCCCTACTTAAAGTAGATCTGTTGAAAGAATAGAATTAATTTGGATACAGTGCTGTGTGTGGTGTGTATGTGTGCTCGTGCACGCGCACACGCACAAATCCTGTTCAGTTCCGAAGGGGGATCAGTGGTTCCATAACCTTTTCCTCCCACCCGCATTCTGTCTTGCAGCGTCCCCTTGCCTTGATATTCCAGTAGACGACCGGGCAGTTCATGTCATTAAAGTGGTAAGTTTCATACCCTAAAAAACCCAGCGTAAAGTTCCTTGGCGCACGAGCGCAAGTCACTGCACCAAACAGCGTTATGTAACTGCCCGATGTGGCAGGTCATCGTCGTACTCATCCGGCGTGGATGAGTCCCTCCCGTGCCGCTTGCAGGGCTCTGCTCTTGCCAGGATGGGGCAACGAATCTGGCAAGGTCTGTGAGATCCCGGCATGGCCCCGTGCCAAATGGATTTTGGACAGTGCCTGTATGGCCACGTGGACGTATATTGTACTTACTTTGTGATGCTGCTTTAGACTCAGGATGCCCTTCATGGGTTTGAAGGCCACCTCTTCTGTATCTGCCTTCACCTTCACAAAGCATTTATTTATTTATCTGTTTTAGCTATTTAAAGTTTTTCTGTATTGTCCCATTGCTAAACGTCTCTGGATGACTTACAAAGAAAAAAAACCGAAAGAACAAAGCAACTACAACAACAACACCCACAAAATCCAATAAATAATAAAAACAAGGATAAAACCAATTAATTATTCAAATGCCAGGAAAATAAAAAGGTCTTCACCCGACGTCGAAAAGAATAGAGCGATGGCACCAGGCGAACCTCCTTGGGGAGTGTGTTCTGCAGTTGGGGTGCCACCGCTGAAAAAGCCCTTCTCTGAGTAGCTGCTCTCCTAGTTTCCTCCAAAGAGGGCTCCCGGAGAAGGACCTCTGCCTCAGATCTCAAGGGGCGGGCGGGCACATAGGGAAGGAGGAACTCCTTTGGGTATCCAGGACCCAAGCTGTTTAGGGCCTTATAGGTCATTACCAGCACCTTATATTGGCCCCGGACTTCGATTGGAACATCCACCCTGGTGCTCTGGACCACAACCCTCCAACCACCCCCAGCCATTGACCTGACTTGGGCTGCTGTTGCAGTCCAAGGTATTTTAGGGCACTGCATGTGGGAAGACGGTGTCATAAGGACCAGAGAGTGGTTGAAAGAGAAGTGGGAAGGAGGTCTCGGACAAAACCATCCCAGATATGGTAGGAAGTGCTTAGAGCATGGCTCTCTTGCATGCACCCTACTTTAATTTTTTACTTTAATTTCCCCGTTTTTAATATATGCGCCTGTATTTGAATGAAATGCATACACATCTTTAGCAATTATACACAGGCTTCAACAAAACTGGATCCAAATAAGTGTCCACTTGAAGTTGTTTCTCTGCCACCCATTTGTATACTGAAAGCATTGAAAGGATCTGCTCGTGACGGTAAAGGAGGTGGGCGTTTATCCTCCCAGTGTTAATTGCCATGCAGCAGGTAAAGAAATTGAAAGACTGTGTCCATTGGTAAATATTAGAGGCTGTTCCGGTTCAAAATTGATCACTGTAGCAACTACTACATATTGCTAAAACATTTAACGGCAGCGTTCACTGTAGCTCACCACCATTATTAAAGAAATATTGTGATGTCTCACGTTACCCCTGCGTAAGATCCAAGGACACGATGGAGGTGAGAGAAGAGGGTAATGCTCCACTCTCTTGGTATGCTGGTCAGGATCACGTGTGCTTACACTGAAGTAGAAGAAACAAATCCCAGCATCAAGTGTAGCTTGCGAGTAGCATTACAGAGCTTGATTCATCTCTCTCTCTGGAAACACAGGAATACCTTGAAAATGGGCCCTTGTTTTCTGAACTGAAATTCTACCAGCGAGCTGCAAAACAAGAGCACAGTGAGTAAAAATGTTTTAATAAATAAAATAAAATAAATAAATAAAAGAAGCAGAATTGTCCCAAGTCGGCTTAGAATTCATACGACCTTCGGGTCGCAACACGTATTGCTTTGCAAGATCCGCGGTGTCTTTACCATAAACCAATGTTACCGTGTGCGATAGTGTTTTTATGCCTCTGTATTCTGGTCACAGTTTAAAAAACCTGAAGCAACGAGCATGCTTCTTCTAGAAGACGATTTTTAAAAACCTCTCGCAAATTTTATCTTTTGGCCAGTCAAAAAGTGGATGAAGCTGAAACGGCTGTCCTTTTTAGGGATTCCTGCCTTCTGGGGATCGGGGCAGGCTGAACACAATGGCAAGAGGTAAGATTGCATGGGCATTTGGGAAGGGGTACAGTAGGAACGGGACCGAGGGTGGTGCGGAGACTCACGGGGGGTCTCCCTTTTCCACCAGATCTCGCTTTGTATCTTGTTTTACAAACAGGAGAAATGTGCATCCTCGAATGCGAGAAGCACACTTTTCTAAGCATCCCCACCATAAGCTAAAGCATGAAAATGCAGTTTGGCGGGCGGGAATGAGCATTTTCGAATGCCAACACACACTTGGGAAATTGCAAACTTATGCTCCCAGCTTATGTTCGGGGTTGTGATGCAGTAAGATGCTTATGGCTTCTTAGTGCATTCATGGGCATTTTGTTCTATTGCTGATGATATTGGAAGACGACAGAAGGTGATTATTTTCCTTTTATTGTGCTAGTTACCGATTTATGGTGATGGAAAGATTAGGCGAAGACTTGCAGACCATCTTTGAAAGAAAAGGGCGACGGTTTGGCAAGGGAACGGTGCTGCAGCTTGGACTGCGAATGGTAGGTACCAGCTCCCAGGGCAGGGGCAAGCGGCAGAGAATCGGTGTCCCACAGAGTTTCACCCCCTGTCCTGCGTACTTGTGGACCCATCTCTGGCAGACGCTTATGTATCCCTGCGTGAATGAAGCAATCCCTCCAGCATTCTGTATCCCAGGACTCGCGGAGGGCGTCCTTTAGACCCTCTTCCTCCATCAGCAGGCGGGACCTGCACCAAATGGGGCTTCTGTGGGGTGGGGGGTGCTCCTGCTTTTCCAGACTGGCCCCATCTGCTGGCGCTACAGCAAGGCCAGGTGGGGAGCTCCGAGCTCACACTGTCCCTTGTTGGTTTCCTTGTGCTGTTTCCTTTGCTTTTGCATATTGATTTGCTTCGCTTCCTCCTCCCCCACGAAAATGGATTCTTTGGGGTGGTCAGTGGATAACGCCTGGAGAAGGAGCATGTGTGAATTCCTCCTGCCATCCCTGCCTCAGTGGGATGGAGCTGAGGACTGGGCCCTCCCAGATCCCAGGAGACCCAGACTTCTTGAGTGCTCCTGGATCGCGGAGCGGCATCCCAGGACGGAGGCCTGGTGTGGAGGGTTGAGTGGAGCTTCCTCACTGCATGTCTTCGAAATGCCAGATTCAAGTGGGGATGGGGCCCGCCCTGAGTTTGTATGGTCGGTGTGAGCCTTTCAGAGAAGTCTTGGGAATCGGGTGCAGGCTGTGGGCCACGGGCCCTGTGGTTCTGCCGCCGCCACTTCCTTGTCCTCCTGTTGGTCCTCCTTGTCTGCCGGGTGTGCTGGCTCAGCAGCCTGCAGCCACACAGGGGGGAGAGACTCGGCCTCCCCGCAAGGCCCCCGGATCTGAACTGGGCAACTGCGAGAAACTCAGCGATTGCCAGAGCAGTTTACCAAGTGGCTCCAGTTCTGGAAAGGGCGCTTCCCTTGGCAGGTGCCACGCTCCTCAGAGCGCCCCGCAAGGCAGTCGCTGTGAACGGAAAGGACGAAAAGAAAGACTGCAGGAAGGCCAGACAAATTGCCAGCCCTAGCAATCCAGCTGTAGGCTTGAGGTCTCTCAGACCACAAGCCCAAGTGGCCATGAGCCAACGGCGTATGCAGAAAGCATGTACAGATGGTACAGAAACTCTCAACTCAGGGGCAAAGTCACCACATTCTTGTTGGCCTGAGAAGTCCTGCTGTGAGCAGCCATCTCTGGTTCCCCCTCTGCTTGCCATCAGCAAAGAGGAACTCATGGGCGTTGCACCCTGTTTCCTAGCCGCATGCGTGGGAATTCGCCTGGATGCTGGGCAGCTCCCAAGTTCAAGAATCATGGGCTTTGCAAGCTGGTCATTCAGCACCCGCTTGACATTCAGGCAGGTCCCGCAAGGACAGGAAAGATTTGGAGTTTACTCAGATACTTTCTTGGATACCAAGCAAGGTGCGGATGTAAGAACCATACTGGATTTAAGCTGGCTAAACAGATTCATCTGGAACGGAATGGAGAAATTGACGTAATTAATAGCGGCCTTGGCAGAACGCCATTTGTGGACATCAGGAGACCGGATGGAGGCCTTCTAGACGTGGCGGCCAGGGCCGATCACTGCTTGTTCTTGTGCTCTGCTGGCCAGCTCAAGCGTTGCCAATACAAAGCAGCCCTTCTTGGACCTGCATCTGCTCTGGAAATTTTAGCACCATTTGTCGATGGCTCGTCTGAGATGGGAAAGACTCTGCAGGAGGATGGAGCATGTAGGACCCACCAGCTGCAGGGGGGAGCCGCCCTGGCCAGGCGCATGGACCTGGTGGCACTGGCCCGGCGGGGCGCAGCCTTTGCTGCAGTTCCGCATTCCTACTTTGCAGTTCCTGAGACGGTTGCACGACTTCACCTGCTCATCTCTTACATTAATCAGCTTTTAAAAATTTAATCAATGGAAAAGATGCCCCTGATTGGGAGGCCTAGTTTTTGCAAACCCTATTTTTAGTGAAACCACTTGATTTGATTAAATTTACAAATTGCAGCCTCTCCCCGATCAGGTGTCTGAGGCAATGCACCACCACCACATAAAAGCAAGACATACAGGAGAGAAAAGCCACGCAGTAAAATTTGAGAGCCGCATTACGCTTAAAGCTGCGAAGTGACAAAAATGCATTTTGCCGTGAAAATCCTGATGGAGCGAGGCCCGCTTTACGGCCCATCTAAATCAGCCCAAGAAAGGAGTCAGTCTCATCCCTTCTGGGGGAACTTGCCCAGTCAGGGCCCCCGTCTCAGGTACCCACCTGCCTGGCTTCTCTTGGGCCCGTGAGGATGCCCTTAAGTTTGGCGCAGGCTCGTACGGAGGGCGCGACAGCTGGCGACCGTCCTGGGAAGAGGCATTCCAACCTTGCCTCGTGGACAGGCAGGAATGCCTCTGAAGTCTTTTAGGCCACCACACAAACTTCATTTAAGACCAACGGAAAAATGCTTCTTAGTAAATAAGTGTGTTTAATTGAAGGACATGTGTATGATTTCAGGTATTTTAAATTGGTTTGTGGGGAGCTCATGCAGTTTGTCAGCTACGTAGCCAGATACAAACTCAGTCAGTCGGTTTAGACCGGGGCACCAGCGCCCGTCTCATCAATGCTAGGAGACGGAAAACTACATAGCACGGCGGAAATGTGGGGTCCTGGCTGGAGGCAGCGCATCTCCGTGCATTGTAGTGTGAGTAGACAATGCCCTTGTATTTCATCGGCTAGTCATAACTCTCAGCCCAACAGGGTTGTTGTTGTGGGGGTAACATTGAGAGGAGAAGGAGAATTATGTAAGCCATCTTGAGTTCATTGTAAGAAAAACAAAAGGGATAGAAGTCAAATCAATCAATAAATGCACTGATTATTATCATTGCACTACCTTTTATGTTCTGCCTTTTCCCCTCTTGTGAGGATCCCAAGGCAGCTTGCATAGTCCTCCTTCCCTCCCTTGGGTCCTCACTACAACAGCCCTGTGAGGTAGGCTGGGCTGAGAGTTTGCGCCTGGCCCAATTTCACCCAGTGAGTGTCATGGCTGGGTGGGGACTAGAACCCGGATCTTCACCCTCTGCAGTGACATACTCCAACCATCACACCACACTGGCTCTTAGTATGGTTAAGTATGAACAATGAATTGCTTCCCTGTAGCCTGAAGTGCCCGATCCTGCCTAATCTTGGGAAGCTAAGCAGGGCTGGGCCTGGTTGAAACTTGGGTGGCTGACTTAATGCTGTAACCCACCCAAAGAGCTTCAGCTGTGGGAGGTATAGAAAAGCAGTAGTAGTAGAGTAGTAGAGTAGTAGTAGTAATAATTGTGGAAAATGCTTCCCAGGGATGTTTGCCTGGCGCCATTGCTTTATTCTTTTCGGTATCAGTCGAAGATCCTTTTATTCTCCCAACATTTTAACTGTTCATTGATTTTATCTCTGTTTTTATCATTATCAGATGCACCGTGCTGTGTGTCATTGCTGTTGTAATTGATTTGTTTTTGGTTTTCTGTTTTTTGTAAGCCGTCCAGGGACTTTTAGTATTGGGACGGCATATAAAATTTTTAAATAAATGAATGATAAATAAATTAATAATAGCAGTAGTAGTAACAATATCAATAATATTAACAGTTAGCTAAGCTAAGTGTTGCGGTTCTATTTAATCTACTTTTCAGTCATCCCCCTTTTTTCTCCTTCAGTTCGCTCTGTCTGTGAAATTATATCGCCTTCTTCACTTGCTCATGAAGCAGGTTCTCACGGAGTCTTTAGCCGAAGAAACGTTTCATGGGGTGAGCCTAATCACAAATTCTGGTTTCCTTTGTAATGTGCTGTTGTTTGTTTTGTCCCCACAAGCTTGATGTCTTGGAGTACATACACGAGAATGAATATGTTCATGGAGACATAAAAGCAGCAAATTTACTGTTGGGCTCTGGAAACCCATGCAAGGTAAATATAAAGCATTCTCCGATACTCCCCAATACCTGACAATTGTACTAATAACGCAATTTGTGGTTGATTAAAAAAAAGTGTTCTGTTAAATCTCCATAGAGCCTTAAAACTGCATTCGTTCTGTGGGAAGGAAGCTTATGGTTTTATCTTTCTCACTTGGGCAAAGACTTGATCTTCATGCTCTGGTGGAAGCTCAGGCGTGCTTCTGAAACTCCAGTCCATTTAAGTTCCGTTACTCCAGTCCCATTCACATCTGTGGAGGAAGCAGCACGTCTTCCCCAACATGGTGTTTCTAAGGAAGTTTGGACTTCAGCTCCCATCCGTCCTAGCCTAGTCAGAAAAGCTGTTTTGCTCCGAAACATCTGGGCCGACCCGGTGGGGGGAGGCTGATGCAGAGCTTTGAATGCATGGACGTGATCGCAGTTCTTTGCATCACCAGCATGTGCTCAGGGTGTTTGAGCGCCGTATGTGCCCGTTCTCCTGGCCTCTTTGGAAGGGAGTCTGGCTGGAAGCTCACAATACAACTTCGAAAGCACCAGCGGTTGCAAAGGTGTTTACATTTCTGCTGCCTCATCACCGTATTAAACATTCCAGCACTAGATCCTTCTCTACAAAGGCAAATTGTAGTGCCCAAGAAAATTCAGAAAATGGTAAAACCACATGAGCTGCGTTCATGAAATTCCTGCTTCAGGAAAAAACGGGGGGGGGGGGTGGAGTAAACAACACCATCTTAATGGACCTCTGTTTTCCTCTCTTTTTAAGCAGGGAAAGCTTTTGTGTAGCACTCCATAGACTGATCCCCAGTGAGCATCCCTGTTCCCACAAAACAGGCTAGTCCCCGTAACTGATTGCAGGAATGTAAGAAGCCATTTTTCCTTGCTTTGTAATGGTGTGGGTGACAGAGCATCACTTTGGGATAGTGGGGGTTGCCCTGTCGTGGTTTGGTGGTCCGGGGTGTCCTGCCCTTTCTTTGTATCTACAAGCCACATGTTATGGTGCAGTGGCCAGGTGGCCAGATCCTGCATTATGGCAACACGAGTTTGCTAAGCATTGCTTCTGTCTGCTCAGTGCAGAACAGTCGGACTTGTATGAGCCAGATTAAGGTCTGAATTTGACTATGTGGAAATGCCGTGAGGTAGAGAAGGAGGTGCTGTGAAGTATAATCCAGAAGACTTGAGATGCACCCATGTCTTACTGGCTTCTGTGGGATTTGTGGAGCGATCCTGTGCAAGTCCTGGCCCAATTCAAGGTGTTGGTGATGACCTATAAAGCCCTCAATGGCTTGGGTCCTGGTTACCTGAAGGACCGCTTACGTCCATATATGCCCGCCCGCCCCTTAAGATCTACGGGAGAGGCCCTTCTCCGGGAACCCTCCGTGAAAGAAATTAGGAGGGTAGGTACTCGGAGGAGGGCCTTCTCAGCGGTGGCGCCTAAGTTATGGAATGCGCTCCCCAGAGAGGTCCGCCTGGCGCCGTCGTTATTTGTTTTTCGGCGCCAGGCAGAGACCTTTTTATTTAAGCGTCATTTTAATTGTTAATATTATTTGCTTATTTTATCTGGCCAGGGCGACTTATTTTATATTGTTATTTCTAGTATTTTAATTGTATGTTGTGAGCCGCCCCAAGGCTTCGGCGAATGGGGCGGCATAGAAATGTTTTAATAAATAAATAAATAAATAAAATTGTTTACTCAGACCGAGCCCACAGCGTGCGCCTGATTTCGACCTTTGACGAACTGAGTTCTTTGTGCATTGCCCAAGCGAAACCTCCTGTAGTTCTCTTCTGAAGCCAGGTCTAAACTATCCTTCTTCCCATATGGAGACTTTCTTTTTCATTTGAGGCCTCTGGGGCCTTGCCCGCTTCAGCCCACGGGCTTACTTGCACTGGGCAGAGCCGGAGGGCTGGACAGGGATTCTGGAAGCACGTGCAGACTTTCGATTCCCATAATGTGCAGCTCTGCTGCTTGGACGCAAACGCTTGCAGTTGCGTAGGTGGGAGCAGGGACCTTCCCAGGTTCCGGTCTTCATAGGGGCCTGACTTCACTCACATGGGGCTATCACTCTGTGTCCAGTTTTACAGCTGTTCCACTTCGATCGACAGCTTCTCTGTATCCAGGAATGGGCAGTTCCATCCCATGCAAAGGCAGGTATATTCTGCAGTAATGAATAGCTGCTGGCCAGGTGGCTGCTGTGGAGACTCGTGTGGAATGACCCTTGCGACTAGGAATCCTCTGGGTGGTCCTGCTCCAGATGGACGGTGGTTTTGTCCATGTTCGGGCTAGTCGGATGAGGCACCCTGCCTGCAGATGCCTGTGAAGTCGGTGAGAATTCCATTCCCCCAGGGATAAGTGCATCGGGAAGACCACGTTTTATGTCCTCCGCTGCTGTTGATTGCCGTTTTACTGCTAATAACGCCGTCAATGAGTCCTTGGCCTAATTAAGTTGGCCTGCTAATACAATAGTGATCCAAATTTATTACTGAGCTAACAAAGCGATATATTTCTCTGGGCTTGCTATGGCAGCTCCACGATGGAAAAACGCAAGTGTGAAATAGCATCCTGCATCTTGTACTCAGTGTGTCCCTTTATGCTATCGTGCTATTTAGGATTAATTTTTAGCAGTGCTGTTATATTGCTGCTGATTTGAAATAAAACCCAGAGTGGTATTGTGACTTTGACATCAAGATCTCTGCTCACGGTGTTTCAAAGCTGGGTAATTCAGGTGTGTGGGTTAATTTAAATACTCACCCACGCTTTGTTTTTGTTTCCTGCGTATTTAGAGTTTTGAAAGCTAAGTTTTATGTAATACCACCAACCATGATTTAATCAGGAGTGCTTTGTTTAGAGTCTTGTTACTGTGGAGTCCAGCCGGAAGGGAAGGACTCCCAGCCGAGTCCTTTGTGTGTAAATATCTCCAGCACAGCCTGCTCTGCATCCCATATTTTTGCTTTGTTGGGGTCAGTTGGTGGCTTTGCATTTATGGCCATTACCAACCAACAGTTTGCATGAATCCACAGAGTTCCCCTAAAACTGAAATGCAGAATTCAGATTCAGTTGCTTTCAGATCCTTCTGAAAATTGCTGGGTTAGGGTTTCCAGGAGCAGATTTCCTTAACTTGGTCCTTCAGAGGAGAGATACAACTTGATGTCGAAGGTCCCCAAATTCTGCTTTCTTTTCCCTATTTTGACGGTGTGTTTGCTGTGCACAGGTCACAGTCAGAGGGAATAGTAAGCCAGGAACAGCATGAATGAGCCGAATGCTGGTACACAGAGCCTGTTCCAGCTTGGCTCCTCCTGCGATTGTGACTGGCCAGACAAACTAGAGATGGTTTGTTTAGAAGGTTATCTGAGGTTGCAGTCCTGGCTTGTACTGCCAACAGGCCCAGATTGCAAGAAAAGATTTGTTCTGGGCTTATGAACCCTGGTCTGGGAGGTACAACCCGTGCTCCCTGCTTCAGCTGCTGTGCTTAATGAATAATCCCTAGTTTTCTTAGTGGCTTACAGTAGCCAAAGGATCCTGGCTTACCATTCCATGCAAATGCAGCCAGTGAGTTGACTCATAGCCACAGTGTGAACTTCCAGACATCTGCAGCATGTACACCATAATTCAGATCTGCTAGTCTGATTTGATGTTCTATTTAAAAAAGTGCTCCGGCCTCTATTTAGGTTGGCCTTTGCAATGGCCATAAATAGCTGTACTACCTGAACTGTAACTGGCGGGACAGTTCAGGTAGTACAGTGCGTTTACGCTCGGTCGCAGCGGTCCTCTCGTAGTATTCTTACATGATAGGCTTCTTGCCCTCGGTGGGCAAGCGGGGCCTTATCGATGGGTGAATGCCAGCTTGCGCTTGAGCGGGAGGAACGGAAAACCAGTGCTCTTTCCTTTTGACCCTGGAAAGGGTGCAGAGGGGATTTTGGAAGGATGCTGATCAGCCAACCCTTGACAGGGTAGCCTTGTGCCAGTTCCTGCACTTGTAGGGTAGGGTGATCCATTCAGTGAATCTTCAGGGTGGGGGAACTGTCCTCTCTCTCTAAGGCTTTTTCTGTGCAGGCTTTGAGAGCTTGGCAAGGATATATCGACCTTTCAGCTTTGGCAAGTCACGCAGGCTGTCTTAACAACATACCTGTATGTTGGCAACATACAGGTATGTGAGGGGGTGTCACATGGAGATGGGTAGAGACCTGTTCTCCCCTGCAGAGGAAGGCAGGACGCACCCCAAAGGAGCAAAGCTCAGGGAGCCAAGGTTCCATTTGGATGCCAGGAAGCACTTCCTGGCAGTTAGGATCCGGGGGGTATGGAATGGGCTTTCCTGGGAGGTGGTTGAGGGCCCATCGGTGCGGATGTTCAAGGATAGGCTGGACATGCACATGGTGGGCATGTCGTGAGCGGAGCTGGCTGGAGCCGGGGCTCAGACTAGATGGCCTGGGAGGCCTCTCTGACTTGCTCTGTTTCTATGTTTCTAGGTTTCTAACATGCTGAGTGTCTTCAGTTCTGCGTAGCCACTGAGGATGTGGCGTGACGTAACAGTTTCTGTTGACCTCCTGGTCTTAATGCTGATCTTGGAAGTACGTGTGGGGAAGGAATAGTTTGGTGCACATTTTAACACAAGTTTATTCAGTGTCGCACTTGCTAAGCAGTATGTGGATGGAAACGGTTCTCCTTCAGAAATTGCACTTTTGAAAGCGAGCCACCTGAGTTCCACATTGTGTGATATAAAAATAATAACCAACCAACCAAATGCTTCCTTGAGTCTTGCTATGGAGTTCTTCAATGAAAGACACAGAGGGAAAAGCACACACAAAAACAGGTATCCCGGTGAAAATGACGTTCCAATATGGCTTAGGGAAATTGCTTGCAAAGCTGTGGGTATTAGACAAGATGGCACACACAGATGTATTGATCGGGAGCACTGTGCGCCAAAACATTCACAATTTCTCATGTGGACTAGCCAAAATAAAAAGTTTGGGACAAACTGAAATGTGGATATCACATGTATTGCTATCTATCTATCTATCTATCTATCTATCTATCTATCTATCTATTTAAAACATTTCTATGCCGTCTCCATCGCAACAAAGCCTCGGGGCAGCTCACAACATTCATAAAAAGATACAATTAAAAATTTAAAAACTGGTACCATCTCGGCTATATATACTAAAATCTATAAATACAATACTAATAAATTAACAGTTAAAATAACTTTTAAATAAAAAGGTCTTTGCCTGGCTCCGAAAAGCAAATAATGACTTTTTCACTTGCAAGGAACCTCAGGTGGCTCCATATGGCCTCCTCTGTTCCGATTCATCTTCACAACGTCCCTTTGAGATAGGTGAGGCCAAAGGCAGTGAGCGGCCCAAGGTCGCCCGGTGAGCATCACGGCCGCGTGGGACTAGGTCCTGGCTTTCCTGAGCCGAACACTTTGATCTCTCCACCACCTTGGTTGCTTGCTCCAGAGTAGTAGTAGTAGTAGTTATTATTACTACTACTATTCACATTTCTATACCACCCATAGCCAAAGCTCTCTGGGTAGTTTACAACAGTAAGTCACCCATCCAGATTTCAACCAGGCCTGGCCCTGCTTAGCTTCCAAGATTAGGCAGGACCAGACACTCCAGGCTATATGGAAGCTCAGCCGCATATCAGGAAAAGCCCTTCTGCCCCCAGGGTGAGGGAAAAGGGGGGGCCCTGGGAAGTTCAGTACATGCTGGGGCTTTCATTTGAGGCCCGTACCCGGTGCTTTCCCACAAGTCTCGCTGGTATACGTGAGTTGTTGGTGGACGCTGGTCAAACTGTTGGTGGTGGACACTGGTCCCAACAAGTGGGTTCCGATTACATATTTTTTTGCTAAAGGGAGGACGGGTGTGGAGAAGGCAGACATTTATTTATTTATTTATTTATTTAAAACATTTCTGTGCCGCCCCCATTGCAACAAAGCCTCGGGGCGGCTCACAACATCCATAAAATTAACATAAAAATACAATCAGTAATTTAAAAACTGGTACCATCTTGGCTATATATATTAAAATCTTTAAATACAATAATAATAAATTAACAGTTAAAATAACTTTTAAATAAAAAGGTCTTGGCCTGGCACCGAAAAGCAAATAATGACGGCACCAGGCAGACCTCTCTGGGGGGGTGCATTCCATAGGTGGGGCGCCACCGCAGAGAAGGCCCTCCTCCGGGTACTCACCCTCCTAATGTCCTTCACGGAGGGCTCCCGGAGAAGGGCCTCTGCCGCAGATCTCAGGGGGCGGGAGGGCATATCTTGTGCTCCATCAGACCCGGCGTCCTCCCATGGAGGCAGGGCTTGGGAGCTTTAGGGTGGATCAAAGGAAGGACAGCCTGCATAGGTAAACTGAGGCATTCACTTCCATGAGATGCCGCAGCAGCCACCATAGAGGGTGGCTTTAAAAGGGAACGGGACAGCAGTGGAGGAGCAAGCAACCCACGCCTGCGTTGCCCAGTTGGTGGGAAACATGGCTGGGAAAGGACCGTTAGGCATGTCTGCACACATGCTCCGTTTGGGAAGGGCCATCACTGAGGTGCAGAACATGTGCTTGGAGGGCAGAGACCCTGGCTTTGCTCTCCGTCTCCAGTAAAGGCTCCTGCCCATGTCCTGGAGGAGCTGCTGGCAATTATCCGGCGGGCCACCATCTGACTGGACGTCAGTTGGCTTCCCGTGCATCCGTCCTGCGCAGAAAGCAGCCACAACATTTGCTCAGCTGGTCTTTCCTCGGAAACCTCCAAGGACTGTCATTCTGCACCTCCCTCAGCTGCTAATTTCCTTGCAGCATGGGTGGGGGGGAGAACCCCTTCCCACTTCTGACCTGAGCTGATCCCCCTGTAGCCTTGAAGCTAAAGCAGGCTGGGGAAAGAACATCTCCTTTTGTTTTGAGATGATTTTAATGGCATCCTTTTCCCCGTAAAAGTGTTCACTTCAAATGGCTGCTGAAAAGCCCTCCAACGGCGTTCAGCAAAGTCTGGATGGCACCTGACTAACGATGGGTGGTGGGTGTTTTGTTTTAAATTAAGCAAATGGCCTCTGCCAGGATGGGTGCGGGACCCGGGAAGGGCAGCTTCTTGGGTTGCTCGGCTCATGATATGCTTGCTTCAGTCAATTCCGCTCAGTCGCTTCTTCCGTCACACTGACTTGATGCATTATTGTCTTCCGGCTCAGCCAGGTTGGGTACCAAGCAACACAAATCCACTAGAGGATACCGGAGAAAATAGAGTCGGTCAACCTGACAAAGCGTTATGCCTTGTCCCAGATTTCCAAACACCGCCTCCAGTCTTTAATCTTTGCATCGCAGTTTGTACAGGTCCGTCAGGTGAGAAATATAATCAGTATAATCTTAAAAAGCAGTCGCCCCTCCAGGAAGAGAGATACGGTCCTGGCTTCGCACCCCACTCAGGTCCAGAGGATGTGGCAGCAAGAGACTCCCTTTTGGGCTTTTTTTCAAAGCCGCCGACCGGCCAACCCAAGATTATAAGTAAACCTGCCTGAAGCATAAAAAGGAATCCGTAATTTTAGCAGAATCACCTACAAGATAGCCTGCCTGCCTTTTTATTAGAGAGAGAGAGAGAGAGAGAGATGAGAAAAAGAAGCCCAGCCAAAGCAATATAATTAAATTAAGAGCAAGGTCACTCTTGAGCCGCTCATATTTTTTCAGGGCGGGAATTTGCCTCCCAGGAGAACACAAAACTAGTTAAAGAGTTGACACAGAAAGTCATTTCTTCAACTTTGCGGCTGGCAAATTAAGGCTGGTAAATTTTTGCCACATTCTTACGCTGGCTATGCTGGAACGGTGGCGAATCACAAGGTATGGCTTTGGGAACCTCAGTGCCCCTTCCGGAGGCTGCCGCTAAATGGTTTCCTTTTAACGCATGTCCTTGATCTTCTGTGTGTGTTCGCAGGTACTTGACCGAAGCCCAACTCGCAGAGGCAAGCAATAGACTACAGACCAAGGCTTAGATAAATTGAATATGCATTTTATTACAAAATATGCAGAGGTTAATGCATATGTAAATCTGATACACAATAGGTGTACAGTCTTAAGCAGCACATAGCTCTGAGCAAAGCTCGTCTATTTAACCCTTTAAAGCAAGGGTCGTCAACTTGTGGTCTTCTACAAGTCTTGGTCTGCCACTCTCACCAGGCCTGCCAGCATGCCCAGTGGTGAAGGATGATGGGAGTTGTAGCTCACAATGTCTGCTAGGCAAGGGGGAATAAAGAACTGGAGGAACAAAGGCTCATGCCAGCACAGAGAATTCAGGCAAGGAGAACAACAAGAAAAACTTGTATACCTCCGTGAAAGCCGAGGTTCTTGGGGAGTGGCTTCTTCCTGATTCTAAAAGGGGGTCTGGATTAGGCCTGTCATAAACTGTGGGAGTGGGATAGACACTTGAAGGAAAGGCCTAGGTTCCTAAGCTCTATTTGCTATTTGTGTTTGCCTTGTGCAAACATGAAGTAATATGGGATTTAGGCAGACTGGATGCAACAGGGATTCCATGTGCAAATCCAGGGTGGAATCCTGCACCCTTTATGTATTCTAATGGCTGCTGAAGGGGGACAGGGCTCTCTGGCGTGGTGCTTTATGCTCTTTATTTTTGGAGGCAAGATGTTAGGGGTATATGTAAAACAGCAGCAAGCCTGAAATCCTTGGTAATGTTCTTTGCAGAGGACTGTGAGCAGATGTTAGCTGTTAGATTTCAGATGCATAAATATGTTCTTGGAATCCCCCTGCTAGTGTAGACTTTAGGTACAATTTAAAATATAGTATTTTTTCCGCGAGAAAGCAGTGCTCATTCCCAAGCAAATGTCTTTAACTGCAGAAGCAAATTCCGTGCAAGACTGAGCCTACTCAGAGTCTGCTTTTCGAAAGAATCAGCGTTGGCCAACAGGTGTATATTTGTTCTCTGCTTGCAAATGTATTTGGAATGTAGAAATAGTTGTGAAGCATGGAATGGCGGCCCGGGAAGGAAAGTACTTCACAACTGAAGTAATATTTGAGGCTGTCTCAAGGGCAGGCCTAACACCAAGAATGATCAAGTCCAGCATTGCCTCGACACACCATTTTATTTGGCAAACTCAGACACAGCTAAACTGACCGTAGTCATCCTTTTCTTCAGACTTCCAAGGGGTGTGTTTGGGGAGGGGGACATAGGAGACCTCTCAGAAAACTTTTAAAAGCCTCTATTCAACTACAAAGGGATCTTCACTTCTGGAACCTTCCCCCCGCCCTCCTCCTCTTTCTCCCAGTAAGAAATTAGTATGTTTTGCAGCCCAAGTGTTTGTGAGATGTTTCTTCCCTTCTTTTCTGTAACCGTTGAGAGGGTTGAAGGGCTGGCTGTTGAAAGATGGGCTCTGTCATGTCTGGATGTGTGAGTGCATTTAGTAAGGAGGAGAAGGGGTCCCACAAGCAGCATGAAGACAGATAAAAGACATATTGCACTTTATGATGTCTTGATACCCACCTGGAGAGAGGAGAGCTCAGGAACAAAATAGACGGAAAGGCTGTTCTGCTCTGGAATAAGAAGGGGAATAGGAGACACGCGACGTGGAAGGGGGAGGGTGGCTGTTAGTGGCCCCCAGATGTGCATATTTTATCTTGAGGTGCCATTTGGCTTAATAAAATGCAGATCTAAGAGTGTCCTTAAACCACCATTTTCCTCCGACTTAATTAGAAAGGTTATACTTTTCAGAGGACAAAAGCATCATTCATTTCTCTTGCTCATGTCTTCCAGGTTTATCTTGCTGATTATGGACTCGCCTACAGATATTGCCCCAATGGGAACCACAAAGAGTATCGGGAAAATCCTAAAAAGGGCCATAATGGGACAATCGAGTTTACCAGCTTAGATGCCCACAAGGGAGCAGGTAGGTTTTCTCCTCTCTCTCTCTCTCTCTCCTTCCCCCCAACTCTCTGAAACGGTTTAGGAGGAATTCGTAATGGGGCTGCTTGACGCATGCTGGGTCTGCCTGGGTTTCCATGTGGGCCCCCCGCTAGCAGCCCCGTGTGCAGCCAGGGCTGGTTGGCTGGTCCAGGCCAGGACAATGGAGAGCACAGTACAAGGCGGAGGGAAGCTGCACGTGTTGTCTCCAGAAAGCGGAGAAATTTCTTGAAAATGCAGCCGTGGAGGCTTCTTTGGTGGCTGTGAGGTGGGGTGCATGAGCTGCGCATGTCCTGCCAGAGTGTTCACGAGCCTGTTCTTCCAGGCTGTAGCCCGTATCTTAGCTCCAGCCACTGTTCTTCTGGAGGCTGGTAGGGAAGGAGAGCCACCAGACCCGAGTAGGCAGGCTTCAGGCTCAGTGGATCCACCTTATTGTTTTCCCGACACACTCCAGGGGGTCTGCACCAGCCAGGTGCTAAGGGCGTGCCACGTACATGAAAGAGTGGCATGCTTCTAAGCATGTTTTGGATCTAGGAGGTGGTTGTTGTTGTTGTTGTTGTTGTTCTGAACAGAGTGCTGAGACTCTTTCACAGGAAAACCTTCTTGGGTTATCCAAAGTGTCCTTCATTCCAGTGACCTCATTAAAGTGGCCGAAGCATTTTGGCCTCACTGTTGCTAAACAGGTTGGAGTCGGAAACCCTTTCCAGCCCGCTACTCATCGCCTGGAGATCTGCCAGCTCAGCTTCGGCTTGCCCTGCTCTCGGCCATTCCTAGGGATGGGTAGATCTCTGAAGCTCAGGGTGGTGCAGGTCCCCAGTTTTCCACCAGGAAGGCATTCTGTCCCAGTCCCGTAAAAGTTTCCTTCCTTCTGCACAAAAACCTTTATGCATTTTTCTCGGTGCACTTTCGGTGTGTACAACACATTTCTTTCTTTTGCTCAGTGTATCACAAGCTCAGAAATGCGCAGCTGTAGAAATCTTCAAATGGCATTCAATTCAAGGAGGTATAGAATGGCGAATCGGTGTAAAAAATAAAAACCAGTGGAGCAAGTTGTTCACCCGTCCCTCACTGTATCTTCCTGCCTTCGGCACTTCTGCCTGTGGGCTGTCTCCTCTTCCTCCTCCTCAGCTCAGAGCAGGACCTGAAACTTGGCTTTCCTTCTGTTTTGGGGGGGAAAAAAAAGGGCGGGGGGCAGCTTCCCCATGGGATTAATAGTTGAATTTGTCTTTAGGTTATTTTCTGACAAGCACCATCTTAAAAGGTGTTTGGGCCCTGCCACTCCCACAGCGCCCTTCTCTTTTGCGCAGAGTGGAGCGCTTCATTCGAGGCCCTGCCTCCCGGCTCCAACACACACGGTTCATCCAGAAGCACAGTGTGGCTGCAGTTTCAGAAACACCGTTTTATTCCTATGCAGATCTGGGTAAAATTCATAACAGTGGGATCCACAAAGGGATCGTGTTTAGGGATAGGTAAGGCGGCGCATTTTTGGATAGCCAGCTGCCAGTGAGGTTCGATTCTGGCCTCTTAGTGGTGGTCTACGCTGTGGAGCAGCTGAGTCTTAGCAAGGCTGCTTTCTTGCATTGTAGCATGTAGGGAAAAAAGCAGGTGCGTGACTGAGTTGTGAAAATGAATGGCATAAAGCATTGCGTTTCATGCAGTAATATCCTCACATTGATTCTGATCACTTTAATATGTAAATATACATGTCTGGCCCATTGCATTAGTACGAAGAAATTTGCCCTGTGTACCTGTGAACTGCAGCTGACATCTACCTTTACCTCGGACCTTGGACCAGGAGGGTTGAACACAACCTTAGGCAAGGTTTAAGTATGAAATTCTATGGTTAGAATAAGTGAAAGATGGGCATCTTTTGGAACTGAACAGGCCAAATAGTTTGGTATCCACTGCACGGGGGATGAGTTGTATTTTATTAATTAAAAGAATAATTGCTGTCTTGCCCCTTTATCAAAAAATTGACATCCAAGGTGGCTAACAGAGTAAAATCATCAATTCAAAAAAAGAAAAGTAGGAGAGCTGGCCAAAAATATGAATACTGTAGGTTCTACCAAACCTGGAACTCCTTTTATTATTGGCTAGAGAAACGGGACTATTCGTAGATCTGAATATGGTTATGGATTGTTAAAAAAAAAAAGTGAGGGACTGACCCAGTATGTCCGATGTCTTTGATGATTGGTGTTTTAGTCTTAGTTTGTAGAAAATAATAACAACAACACTTATTTTAAAAATATGAATCCTGTAGCTGAAAATAAATGCAAAGAGCATGTCCCTGCATCCCTAAAGCCCTTTGAAATGAGACATGCAAGGGGGAAAGGGGGGAGAAGGCCCTGGATTGCATGCTTGGCTTCTGAGCCCCGGACTGGTGGTGCAAAGCAGAGCAGTCTCCTGTGCTGAGTAAAGTGCCCAGTTAGGTGCCCAGTGAGAGACAGAGACATGGAAACACGGTTGGGTACCGTTCATTTGAATGCTCTGCAGAGCCCCTGGGGACACGTGAGCAGGGCTGATTCCCAGCAGCCTCCAGGAGTGTGCCTTCATGCATGGCTCTGCACTCCTGGATCAGCAGCGGTTGCAGCTCCCACCTGGCTAGCGGTCTGGCTGCTTTCTTACACCAGAACGCAAGAGGTTTGCATAACCCCTCGCAGATGGAGTCAGTGTGCCCATTGGCTGATGCACAACTTGGTGATCCTTTCAGGCTCTTTCCCGGCTCTGGTAGACGATGCTTCAGGTGCGTGATGACTCTTGTTTCATATTAAATCATCTCAGCTCATCCTCTCTCCTCCTCCTTTTGCAAGCAATGTGAAGTGTTAACTTTAAAAAACAATAACAGAACCTCTCTTTTTTCCGGTAGCCTTTCATATATCTTACTTATTTAAACTCACTTTGACGGTATTGGAAACACATTTGCAGGTAAATTACATACATAGTCCTTTTATTGGATATTGATTGCACTGCCTTGCATTCCAAGGCAGACTTAATTCAACAATTCCCTAATTAGTTAAAGTCATAACCTGTGTCTTGTATTCATTTACCATTAATTAAACCTCAGCTGTTTATTACACTGCAGTCCAAATTCAATAGCCAGCCCAAAGAGCCACAGAAAAGGAGCGGGGGGTCAATATCGGAAATATATGGCACGGCATGTCTGTCCCTCCCACAATGGCTGCCTCGGCTGCGATCGATGATGGTCAATGCAACACGACTTTCTGAGTTGCTATGTCAGCAAGACACAAAGTCAATCCCCGTGCCATGCCGGTGTGAAGGAAGGAAGGAATAAAAAATAAATAAACAAACAAAAGGGGTTCTGGCCCAGCTTCGCCTTTTGTTTAACTTGAGAGTCTGGGCCGCTTTGGAATGTTGCCAGGAACTCCCTCCCAGCCGTCGAGGCTGGTTCCACCCCTCCGTTCCTTCAGGTTGCACCTCAAAACCCACCTCTCCCATCACAAAGCCTTGCTCTGCATCTCAGCGCCTGCCATGTGCGGATGCTCACCTCTTCTTCCTGGGCCTCCATCTTAGAAGCACAGAAACAGCACGAGTCAGAAGGGGCCTCCCAGGCTGCCTAGTCTGACCCCCCGGCTCCGCTCACGACATGCCCACCATGTGGAAGTCCAGTCTATCCTTGAATTCCCTCACCGATGGGGCCTCAATGACCTCTTGTGGAAGCCCATTCCACACCCTGGGGGTCCTAACTGTCAGGAAGTGCTTCCTGGCATCCAAATTGAACCTTGGTTCCTTGAGCTTGGCTCCGTTGGAGCGCGTCCTGCCCTCCTCTGTAGGGGAAGTCAGGTCTCCTTCGCTTCGACTTCCTTCGCTCCCGCTTGTAAAGCCCTTGGGACCGGGAAAGGACTGCCATGTCTCCCCCAGAAATGCTTGCTAGCATCAGAGTGCAGGCAAAAAGAGGTTTTTCCCAGTGGTGCTTCCTGACGTCCGTCACCGCAGAAGCCAGGAGCAACACCTGTCCCCAGCATGAGCCTGGCTGCGCGGCTGCGCTGCGATTTCTCCCCTGAGGTTCCTCTGCTCTTGATGGTGCCTTGGAGATGAAAGGCTCCACGCATGAGGCAACGTGTTTTCCCCTCGCCCCACCTTCCGCTGCCCACTTTTCATCCAAACCAAGCATGTGTGTTTGCAAACATTTGTGGTCATTAATAGCTGCTGAACTGTTATCTTAAACTAATACTTTCTAACGAGTTTTACTTGGCGCAAACAACTATATATTATTGCTTTTTCTATTAAAAGGACCATTGACCATGTAATGTAGAGGGCCTTGATAATTTGCCAGCTCTGTTAAGACCTGCAGTCATTTAATGCTGGTCATTAGGAAAAGCCGAATGGGACTCGTGCGCCTCTCCGATGCCATGGCGATTGCGCTGTTTGACCTTCTGGAAGCATTTTGGAATAAAGAGGCCGTCATGGGCGAGCGGTTCCTGACCCATACGATGAGATACGGCGGTGGAAATCGGCTGAGCCCACGGATGCTCTGAGCTGTTTGCGTGCAGGATGAAAAGTCTTGCTCCGTAAAGGGTACCTGCTAGATTTCTGTATGAGTTATGGGGAGAAAAAGAGATGGAGCAGCTGCTTTTTTGTCCAGGTGGCATTCCTGTAGCACCGAGGCCTGTTTCCACACACCGCCAAATCGGTACATGCTCTAATAAAATGGAAGTGTGCACACTTCAGACATTTATGTCATGGGCTCGGTTCTCAGACTGGGTGGGATTCTTTGAAAGAGGAAGAAAGGCGGCCTCCGTAAGGGGAGACGTGATAGAAGTGCTTAAAATGAGACACGGAGTGGAAAAATGGGGAGGGGGGCTTTTTTTTACCCCTCTCCCATAGCACTCGAACCCAGTTTAGGAGAGACAAGAGGAAGGACTTTCACACAAGAGATAGTTAAACTGTGGAACTCACTGCCACAGGGAGTGGTGATGCTCACCAACTTGGATGGCTGCAAGAGGGGATGGGCCAAGTTCGTGGAGG